GGTTTTTCTGCTTCAGAAAACAAAATATTGGAGGAGTTGTGTGGTGTGGATAAATAATTTGAGGAATTAGACCAGAATATCCAGCACACTTTTCTTGGAAGAGCAGAAGAGGTGATAGACCTGTAAAGTTCATGAGTCGGGGATGGAGGGAGGAGAGGCACAGTGGAATTGTGTGGAGCTGAAAACTGTCCTTCAGTAATTCCTTCCCTCCCCAGACCCAGCTGGAATTGCCACCATGATCCCTTCCAGGTGTAAATCCATTTGTCTGCCCTAATTCTTCTTTACCTTGAAGGGATGGAGAACATGGTGCCAGATCTGCTTGGGAATGTGGAAAACAACCCCTCCAGCCCAGGGGCACTTCTGGGGAGCGCAGGAACCCCTCAACCTGCTCTGGATGTGTTGGACACTCAGGGTTTGGATCAGGAAAAGCCTTTCTGGGCTGGATGAGGAGGCACAGAGGCTGCTGAGTGCCCCTTCAGTGTCATTATGGTGGTTTCATTGTGGAAGTTTTACTCGGTGAGTGAACTTGACTCAAATGGAAGAACCAGGGCATGGAGGTGTGCAGTGGTGGGCGTTGCTCCTGTGCACACAGGCACCTTGTACAGGAAGGTTGGCTTCACAAGGAGGGTCCACGGGCATCTCTTGGGTCTGTGTCCGTGCTGCCATTGTGTGGTTGGAGAGATACAGGATGATGCTTAAAGTTTTCCATTAAAAAAATGGTTTGGTCCTTCCACTTTCAGTGGTAGCACAGTGCTCCAGTTTCTGCAGCAGCACCCTGCAGATTCTTCTGGAACCACTGCTGGTTTTTGGAGGGCACTCAGCCTGTTGGTTACAGTGTGAGTGACTTGGGGCTGTGCTGGGTCTGATCAGCTCCTGCTGCCTTGAGGAAAAGAGGAGTTGAAAATCCCAAAGAGGAAAGTAGGAGGAATGGTTGGAGAATACTGTGTGTTCTTGTGCTGGGCTAGATCACTTGCATTAAATTCAGAGACTTTCTGAGTACAATTAATAGTCATTTTATTTAGGTCACCCTGGTTTTGTTGCTTTAAATGTATGCCTCCATTAAAGTGGAAGAAAATCAAATACATTTATCTCCGTGGAGCCTTTTGTGAACTGGTTGGGCATATTTTAAATAACCCTGGGAACTGTTAGGATTATTAAAGCCTTTGGCTCCTCCAGGTTTTTTTTCTTTCCTCCTATTCTCCCCTATTCCTCCTTGCAGGCAGTGAGTAATGAAGTGGTAGAGCCCTTCCTTTTCTCGGAGCCCCAAGTGGATTGGAAAAAAAAGGAAGTTAAATAAACTGAAGCCCATTAGTTAGTCTTTATGTAAGAAACTGGGTCTGCATTGGCTGTATGGATGGGCTGTGCTGGGACAGAGGAGTCTGGGGGCCTCAAGTGTCCATTTGTAACCACCGTTCAGTGGCAATTCTTTGTTTTCTTCTTTTATTTTAGTTACCCTGAGTCCTGAGACTGTTCATTTTGTAACTCTCACTTGGTGCTGAGAATGAATCTGCATTAATCAGCTCCTCTAAGCCTCTATACTCCATCTGAGGAGGTTGGGGTGTGAGTTTCCTGCTGGTGTCCGTGCCCTGGGGAGACGCGGTCTCCGTCCTGTGCTGGGGCATCCAGGCCTTCCCTGGGGGCTGGGCTCTGGCCAGGCCTTGCAGGTGGCAATTCCATCTTCCAGTCCTGCTTCTAACCCTGGAAAAACCTTCCTTGCCTCTTGTATGCAAAGTGTGAGCTGTGTGTTATGAGCTGAGACCTGGAAAAGTTGGGGTTGAGCATCTTTAAAACGCTGGGCGAGCAAGGGGCTGGAGGAGGGGGTTAACTTGGGCCCTCACAGCCCCTGGATGTACTTGAGTTTCTACTGTGGGTTGGGTTTTTTTCCCTTCCCCTGGAATAGGGATCAGTTTGCTTACTGCAGGGTTTACTGCCGGTTACCTTGACTGTGTCCCTTATTTCTCCTTGATGAAAACTTGAACAAGCCGCTTGTGTTTGCTTCACAGAGAACCGTGAGAAACGGGCTGTGTGTGTGAGGCACTGTGGTTTGCTCATTCTATTCAGCCCTTTGTATATTCAAATTCTTCTAGTTTGAGTTCTTGCTGTTCTGCCAGATTTCCATACCATTGATGGGTTTTTGCATTAATAAGTTTCTCTCCCCCCTCCCTCCCATACCCTTGCCACCTTTTTGCAACTGGTGAAAAGTTTTTCTGAGCGCGCTGCCCTCTCCATATTGATTTTCTTCTCCTGCTTGTCTCACCAGCTCTTAGATGTTTTATTTTGCAAAGCGTTAATAGAATTTTCCTTTTGCCACTGCACTTTATCTATTCAGGAGGTTTCAAGAAGTCTCATTGTGTCACTGGACTATGGAGGAAAGAGGCTATTCTTCTGCTACAATGGCTGCCCTAAAAAATAACGCGGGGTGGGGTAAGCACAGAAAGGGCAGAGACGGAGATAAAATGTTCTGACCTTAGGAAAGAGAAAAGATAACCAATTAGACATTGTTGAAAGGGCACCAGCTGGCTCAAAGAACACCCCACTGATAATTTTTTCTTCAAGGCATACTTGGGCCACGTCTGAACTCAGCTGCAGAGACGCTCCCCCCGTGCAGGTTTCATATGTGGACTGTCAGGGCTGACCCTTTTCCAGGGAGCTGCTGCTGGGCTCTGATCCCAGCAGTGGGGATGTAGGAGGGGGGCAGTGCCTGCTCCAGGGTGCCTGTGCTCCTCGGGGCCCCAGGAAACCTCCCTCCTGGATTAGCCCTGCAGCCTGTGCTTGTTACTGCTAATAGGGATTTATTTGCATAAAAAAGATCCCTGCCAAGATCATCATTCCAGCTTGGTACACATGGCACAAAGCCCTGTTTGCCCAGAGGATGGGGTTGTGTTGGACAGGTGGGAGAAGGGGAGGGGACTGCAGAGCCCAGTGTGAGCAGGGGCTGTGCCCAGAGCCCCTCAGCCCTGCAGCGCTGGCTCTGGTGCCAGCCCAGCCCCTCCTCTGCCCTGGCAGCCCCTGGAGGAGCACAGGGAGGCTGCACAGGAGGTTCTGCTGCTGCCAGCACAGGCTGAGACATGGCCGTGCTGGAGCATCTCTCCCTTTCTGGAGTCCCCAGTGATGTCCTTGCAGGAGCAGGTGTCATTTTGGCAGGACAGTGTGGGTCCAGCCTGGAAAACCTGCACTCAGCTGTGCTCCTGTGCATCCAGGAGCTTCAGGGCTCTGGGATGGGGCTGGAGGGAGAAAAGTTCCATATTAAGCCTTTAGCAGCAGGGCTTGAGTGGGGACAGAGGATGGCACCGGGAGCTGCGATGCCCCAGGAAACAGCTGCAGGTGCAATGTGTAATTTTTGGTTCTAGTGAGGCCAGGACCTGTGAGAATGAAAAATAAAGATTACTGAGCAAACATAACCCTGGAGCAGAGATAAGCAGCGTGCAGGGTGAAGGGCAGCCTGGTCCTTATCTGCCTCCTGGTATTGCTCATCCTGGTGAGTTTTCCCCCTTGGAGGGAGGACAGACAGCAGGACAGGCTCCGTGCTTAATGCAGTTTGGGTTTCTCAGTGCATCAGCATCTTTAGGTCTCAGTCAAGATGGGTATCAGGAGACCTGCAGTTCTGCACCCTCTCAGGCCATTTGCTAGCACTTTCTGCAAACCATTTGGACTAAAAAAGAACTTAAACAGAGACAGGTTTTCAGATGAATTTCAGGCATCACGTAAGGTTTTGCTGCACTATATTTTTTTACAATCTCCTGGAACATATTACAGTCCTTCAGAACCTCAGGGAGGTTCAACTTGTGTTTTCACCACCTCCCCAAACACTTTCTCCCCAGCCAAGGCTGAGAAATTTTTCACAGACATAGGCTGGATGTTTGTCTGTTGCTTAAGAGGACATTTGGGAGGACAGGAGGACCCTTTAGTGGCACTGTGTGAGATGAGGAGAGCATGTAACTGCATTGTAAATCACTTAGGTAAAATAAATGATTTATAGAAAGCCAGAATACAAGCCCAAGGAAGTATAGAAAAACTGCTGGTGGGGAAAAAAATCCAAAAACTTCAAACAAACAAATAAAAAAATCCCAAAGCGACACCACAGAAAAGTAGTGGAGTCCTTTAGAGGACGAAACCTTCTCTTTAAAGTTCTTCCTTCCTGCAACACCTTCTGTAACTCAGTGTTACAGGTTTTCATCATCCCTGAATTTACAGTAGGGAGTTGCAAGTCTGTAATTTCATCTCAGAGCTTGCCCAGGCCGTGTCCAGTGGCACATGGGCCCCGCCTGCCCCTCTCCTGCAGCCTCAGAACAGCAGCTCAAGGTGTGATGATGCTGGGGGATCAACCCCAGCACAACATCCCTGTGCAATAAGTGCAAAATTTTAGGTGTGGCTGCACAGATTAAATGGAGGTGGAATAAATCATGCAAATCCTAATGGAAGTTGAAAGCAATTTGGTTGCACTTCAATAGGTTTCATCAGTCATCTCTCTTCTGAAGTGGAAATGCCGAGCCTGATGCGAATTAAAGTTTCTCCCTCCTCCCTCTCCCCACTTTCCTCCAGCTTTTCAAAAGCCCTTTTGAAAACCTCTGAATACCTTTCTTGGCTGACCAGGTTTTACCCTGCTCATACCTCTTTTAACCTAATTCTCAACCAAGACAGTGACTCTAAATTTGGAGAAGTCATGGGCTGGATTTGCATCCCCACTCCCTCCCTTGGCCCTTCCTGCTCTCCCCAGGAAAGGGAGATGAGGCACGGCCAGGGATTGATGTGACGTGGAAGAGCTGCTGAGATATTTGGCTCTTTAGGGCCAACACTTTCAGTGGTCACTTTTCTGCTTCAGGATCAGCTGTCAGCCAGGGCAGGGGGGAGGAAAGCAGCAGGTTTCCAAAAGGAGAAGCTGCCTCTGGCCAAACCCAAGGAGTTCTGCTGCATGCAGGCTGCTCTGCCCGTGTCCCCTCCCTGGTGTGTCCGAGTTGCCAGCTTGTGGTAAAGCACAACTCTCCCTCTTTGTCTTGCAGGTAGAGGATGCCATGCTAATGTTTGACAAGACGACCAACAGGCATAGAGGTAAGAGGGATTGGGAGCTCTGACCTCTCAGTGTGTGGCAGCTTCTGCATGGGGGAGCAAAAACCAGACCCAGCGAGATGAGCCAGTGGCTGAATCCGTGGCACTGAGTCCTCTGTGCTGCAGCTGGCAGAGGAGGGGCTGGTTGGCACAGAATGCCCCATGCACCTGAATTTTCCTGTTAGCAGTGACTTTCCTGGCCAGTCTAATGATGGAAGTCAGGGATTGCAGTACCCTGGGAAGTTCAGCAGCAGCAGCAAAAGACTTGCTCAGGAAGATGAGGGGTGTGTGAGCAGGCAGTGTCCTTCCTTTTGTAACAGGGACCTGTTCAAAGCTCTTACTTAGGTTGAAAAGTTCAAGCCGTGACAACTTCCTTTTATATCCAGGGAATTTTCCACCCTTCTCCACGCAGTCACCCTTAAATGGGCCATAAATACTCCTCTCCATTCAGGATCTCAGCACGTTTTTTGTTGCACTTAAAAGCTGCCCCATGTGGAGCTTTGGTGCTGGGCACAAGGGCCCCAGGTGGTCTGGGGGCAAGGAGAGCTGGGGGGCTCTGGTCCCAGCAAGGCAAGTACTCAGCAGATTCGGCCTCGGACAAGGTGGAGGTGGCCTCTATTTGCTGAAATGTCCCAAATCCAGGGGCTGGGCTCCCAGCTGGCTGTGAGCTCTGTTCTGCCCAGCAAGCTTGCCATGGGCTCATCTCACTGTGCCTGCCCTGCCCAGGCTCTGCTGTGGGCAGGAGGCTCTGCAGGGCCGTGAGAGCAGAGCAGAGCAGAGGTGTTGAGCCCTGGCTGTGCTTCCTGCAGGATGCTTGTCTGGAGCTGCCAAGGTGACCCTGCTCTGTCCTGCCTGTGCTGCTGTAAGCACTTCCCCAGGCGGGCAGGCACAGCGAGTGTTGGTGTGGGTGCTCTGCGAGTGCTGAGCTCTGCTCTGGCAGCCCTGCTCCAGCGTTTCTGTGCTCTTTGGGGAGGCTGCAGCCGTGTGCCAGGGACCTGCAGCTTTGAGCCTGGGTAATGAGCCCCGCAGGATGCACTCCTTGTCCAAAAACATCTTTCCACTGACTTACCAGGAGTAAAGGTCTGCTGAAGATGAGGGCTGCAGGTCTGGGGGGCACCTGAGTTGCCATGAAGCCTTTTGGGTTTTCCACAAAGAGCGTTTTTCCCACTATATGTGTTGAAGATGAGAGGCAACAGGTCATCCTTTTTTTCCCCCCCCTGGGAATTCTGTGCATTTATTTCATTGGCTAATTTTTTTAATAGCTTGTTTTTCCTACATGCAAGCCATGACATTTTGCTCCACATTAGCATCCTAATGTAAGCTCCTGGATGAGATCTAAGTGGGGAGGAACTAGAAGCCCCTAAGGACCAAAAGCAGGCTCCAAATGCCACTGGTTGGAGGTGATGTTACCCCACAACCTCCCCTGTGCTCCAGAGTCAGACTCTGCACCCGGGTCTGTCACTGTGGGGACAGCTTGAGCTGGAGTCCCTCTCCTGGCAAAGAAAGGAGTTCTCTGGCACTCAGGAGACTCAGCTCTGTTTGGGAGGCTGTATCCCAGGGAACAGGCTTACCCATTGCTAGGTGAAGGGTAATGCTGCTTGTTTGCTGGGATTAGCCAAAATTCCTGTGAGCAGGGAAGCCTGGCCAGTGCTGAGGGGCTGCACAGCTGCCAGAGGACAGAGAGGGCTGAGCTCCAGCTCTTGCCCTGCCAAGCACAGGTGGGAGGAAAAATCAAATACAAAAGACAGAGTAAGAGTCCTCTTCATCTTCACACTTGAATTTATCCAGCCTTTTGTGGCATTTTTTCCTGTTCTGCACAGGTAGCTAGTGCTAATCAGCCTAATGAACTGGCTCAGGGCTCTGGTGATGAAGTGAGTTCTGCCGCCTCGGCCGCCGATAAAATCACCCCAGATTTTACAAATTGTGACACTCTTGATTGTGTTGGAAGCACGTTTAAAATGCAGTAGTGTGCAGCAACAGTGTTAATGGCAATTCTTAGAACCACTTGTGGGTTGCAATCTGTATCTTCAAATTAGCCACGGGAAAGAGAAATGGCAGATAAAATATCCGCTGTGGTTTGCTGTCGTTAGTCTCTGCCTGGAATAATCATCGTGGGCACGGGAAGGGAAAAGGATTAAAATTCACTCCCTACTGCTAGAAGGTGAGATAAATTTCCTTGCAGGAAAATTGAGAGGGTTTGTTGACATAATTCTGGCACGTGTGTGTTGCTCCTGTGTGTGTATTTGGGGAGTGTGTAACTCACCTGCACCAGCCCTGCTTGGTGGAAATGCAGGATTGAAGCAGGCAGAGGAAGAGGGGTTTTCAAAACTGCTCACCCTGGCTGGAAAACCCCACCCAAAACAAAACTTCATGCCTGGCGTGGGGCACTTAGTCTCTGTGGTGGACTTGATCTTGGAGGTCTTTTCCAACCTTAATGATTCTATAACCTTAAAAATGCCATCAGGCCAGTCATGCTGTGCCTCTGCAGGAGTATTTTAATGTCCAGCTATTTCTGCATGTTCTCTAAGGAAAGTAAGACTCAGCTCTTGCATTTCATGCTGATCTGTTTAGCCATATTAAAGGCAGGCTACAAAATCTGTGTTTAATTGGAGTGGTTATGTTTTGGTGTATTGTAGGCAAGACAATCCCTAGAATCTCTGGGATGTCTTCTTCCAAGGGTTCATGTGGTGTGACAGTGGGCACACAAAGAACCTGCAATTGATAAACAAATATCCCTGGGTCAGCTTGTTTAGGTGTCCTTTTGTTTTTTTGGAAAGAAAGTGCTGGTGATCCTCTATTTCAGTACTATTGTATTCCTGCAGTCTTCTAAAAAACACACAGAAAAGTTCTCCCAACATTCTGGCAGATCACTTCTGTCACTTTCTTCACTGCTTAAAATTTCATAGAGCTGAAAATTACTGGGTCAATCTTGAAAGGATTCAGTAATTGGAAAGAAAGGGGGAAAAAAAGAGGGTGGTGTTATTTTGTTACCCTTGCAAAGTGCAGATAAAATCTGGAGTTCAGCATTAGTTATTGATCTTTGGGGGTGGAGGGAGCCTGGCAGGATGATGATGTCCTTCTAACTTCATTATGGAGAGGAGCTCCGGGAAGCATTTCGATGTGCTGGGGCGGGGGCCGTGCCCTTGGGCTGTGGAGAGGTTTTTTGTTGTTTCCAGCAAAGCTGAGCAGAAGCTCTGGACACAGCAGGCTGCACAGGGAGGAAGAGGAGGGAAGGGACAGTTAGGTAATGGAGGGGTGCAGGAGTGGGCTGTCCTGAGCTGGTCCCAGTGGAGGTGGAGGTAAGCCAGGAGAGGGGGTGCAGGTTCCTTACCTCGGGGGATGCCCTTGGTCCCAGCCCCGCTGATCCCTGCCCAGCCTGTGCTTGTTCCGTGTGCCTGCAGCCTTCAGCCACTCCAGAAGCCGTCCAGGACCTGCATCACAGCAGCCCCGTGTCTTGGACTCACAAAAAGCCCAAGATTTTGAGTGAGTGAACCCCCCAAGCTGTAATTGCAGGTATTGAGTGTAATACTATATGTTTTTCAAAGCCGTCCAGCCCCCAGAGTTATTTTCACATCAATTAACCCTCTTGCACAGTTAGGGATGGCAGCGGAGAGAGGAGGGAAGTGACAACGTGTGATTTGGACTCCTTTAATCTCAAAACTAAACAAAATTAACACCAGGCAGGCTGTCTGCTGGGTACAGACACATCCTAGGTGTTAGGGGTTAAAACATCCCCCGGGACAGACGCTGACTGCAGCAGGGCTCTGCGGTCACTCGGGCTTTTGCAGCAGTTGCAGAGCTCTCCCGGTTCCCTGTGCTTGTCAGGAGGGTGCCCAGGGTGGCACCTGGGTGTGTCTGGGGCTGGAGGGTGGGTGAGCATCCCTTTGGCTCCCAGGCCTTGCATGGGGGGCACCAGGATGCTGCTGGTACCCTCGTGTGGCATCGTGGACACTGCTGTGCCCAGGGCTGGGGGTTCATCTAAACCCACAGAGCTCAGGCTCTGTGCCCCCCGTCCCACCAGAACCACACCCCGGAGCACAAGGGCTCCCCCAGCCCTGCCACGGGCTCTGCTCTCAGGGAGGAAGGTGAGGATGGAGCTCCGTGTCTGCGCCGTGCCCATCCAGCAGGTTTCAGTGTGTGGAAGTAATCGTCCAGGTGGAAGCAGTTGGCATAATGGTTGTGATTCTTGGGAGAGTCAGGAGTGAAACTGTTAGAGAGATATTGGCTGTGCCTTGGCGAAGGAGGAGGCTTTTCTGAGGAGAAAAATAGCCTTTTGTGTTCTGTCCGGCTGCCAGAACCTCAGTTCTGGAGCTGATCTCTGAAGTTATAATTGACATTTTTATAGATGAGATATAAATATAATTAAGTCACGGCAATTATTTGTTTATCGCCATCTCCCTCAAGTCAAGCAAGGTCATGTGCATTTAAAAATACATCCCCAGGCAGTTTTGAGAAAAGAGTAGTTAAAATATATAGAAATAATTGCCTAATTTGGTCATTTTGAGTGTAGCTTTTCTTGGCAGCATCCTGGCACCAAAGATCCTTAGAAGGGCTTGGAGGGAGGCTTCCCTCAGCTCACAGACTGTGCTTTTTAGGAGGACAGGGCTGAGGGAGCTGCTCCAGCAGGTTTGACCCACAGATTTGGGGAAAGCATCCGTAGGCACGGTGACGGTGCTTTTTTAAAACATAAAGTGCTTTAAGGGCTTTGGATGAAAAGTGTGACATAAGCTATAAATGGAGGCAGTGTTATTGTTATTGCTTTCCGAGATGAGACGGGCTTTTATTCCCCTGTCAGCTGTATCACTTCACAAATGGGGCTCCAGAGAGTGCGGCTGTTCTGCAGGAAGCGCTGGCTCCACTCCGCTCCCTCCCCTGAAATCCATCCATCCCGGGCACCTGGGGCTGGCAGCGGAGAGATTTAACCCTTGCTGACAGAGCTGAGCAGTGTTTATCTGCTCCGGGGGATCAGGGGAGCAGTATCTGCACACAGGGGGTTTGGAGAG